GTCCTGTTCACGATCTTCGCTCGCTCGCTCGCTCGTTCGCTTTTGTGAGTTATTGATGGATGGGGCGAGATGTTCAAGCGAGATCGTGCCCCTTGCTACGTGCCCACCGCATGTCGTCCGTCACACTTTGTGCCCCCGACATTATGTGTCCCCCCCCCCCCAATGTGTGAACTCGGGTCTAAAATAGACGCAGCTCGAGCGATTCAGAGCGGTGCATCCGATGATTTCAACAAGGTCACACGGATGGCTACGGCCATGATGGGACAATGTGGGGGCAATATGGCGACAGAAGAGACTGTTGGAATCGCCGCTAGGAAGGGAGCGGTGTGGCTCGTACCAGGGACTTCCATGATGCTGGGTACATGGAAAAACTGTCTCGAAGGACGAGACTCGGCAATTGAGATATGGGAGAAACGGGGCTGTACAATGGTCTAGGCCGCTCACGGTGGCGCGGTCGCTTACCCGCATGTGGGTCACCGGAGACAAAGCAAGGACCGGTCGAGATGCCGACACAATGTGGAGTCTGAGTGGGGGTTTTGAGGTGGCTCTCCACTCAAACTCCGCTTTTGTGAGCCGAAGCCAGTCCCTGGGTATAGATTTGGCGACAACTTACGAGTGAGGTTTGAAGGACACCTGTGGTTCAAACCCGGACGTAGTGATGTTGGACTAGACTACCGAAGAGGGGCATTGAGTGAGAATCTCCGGAGCCGCACAGACATGATCGGGCTGCCTCGTGCAGCTCTTGCGTCGGAATGCCGGTGCTGCCCACCAGAAAGGTTCTCCAGAATAATAAAAATACCACCACGGACTTGCCCTCGCGTGACATACAGACTAGCCAGGCGTGGACGGCTGCATCGCACATATAGCACGCTTGCGGCCCGATCGAATATCCTCTGAGCACCGTCGACATCAAGATGAAGCATAGTGCGTCTTCCCTGGCGTTGATTTTCCTTGCGGCCAGTTTCGGCGCCGCTGCCACACTGGTGGGAAATGCTCACGGCCACGTCCGCCGGGATGCCAGAGGCAGTTTCCACGAAAGGTAGGTCGACAGAACGAGTCGCTGTCTTACCCATGGAACTGGAAAATCTCACACCTGATCGTGACAACTACTACCACATTGCCTTTGTTCCCCGCACAACCCCTCACACACCTGCACACTGCGCTCAAGTTTTCAACCTTTTTCAACCTTTTTCAATGCAGACCCCACTCTAGCACCTAGGACTGCGCACACACCGGAAACCACTTCCAGAATGTCAATCTGCATCCAGCACACAACTCAGTCTGCAGTGGCGCGGCAGGCCCCAGATCGCATTGGTCAGTTCCCCATTTCATGCGATAGATTCGTCTACCAGCTTTGATCCTCTCAGCGTGCCTCTCCCCAAAGTCGGCCGAAATGCCACCCGGCTGGATTCCTTGCCAGATATTTCTGCCCCCTCGGGGTTGGGGTTGTTCTTTTTCGAAAGCCGCCATCTGTTCAAGAGCTCGCGTAACATTTGCAAATTTCTGTCGAACCCGGTGACGCGAACGGGCTCTTCAGATTCTCTAGACAGTATGCCACGTCATAGAATACAGCCGCTTTGGTGTCGAGAATCTGAAATCCGAGGCGTCGCGTACGGACTGTATATCACAGCGCAACCTAAACCAGGCAAGACCGCTGTTAAGGGTGCAATTGAGATATGAATTATCAGACTGAGGAGTCTAAAAACCAGTGTGCAGGGTTTGAGCCGATTTCAGTTGACTAGCATGTAACGCACCAACGCCTTTCCCAAGGTTGTAAGGCTTCAATAGCACTTGATGTTGATGACGAAGTCTCTCATCGTTTGCGTCCGTAGGTTTATATCCAGGTCGGCGTGTCAGACCGTCCGGTTTGGTGCCTTGTTTACCGCGTCGGTAGTCGATCTGGAAGTGGAATTCAGACAAGAATTCACTCACCCACCAGCCTGCCGGAGTCAATGCCCCTTTGCAGCATTTGGGACAGGTGTCGGCCGAGAAGCGTGTCGACGCGATCTCGGCGAATGCAGGGACGGCAGGAGAACGCGCCAGTACTGGGGAGAGTCTCTGTAAGGCAAATGCCACCCTGACGGCAGCCAGAATAGGCCACGTTCTCTGCCTAGTGAAATATATCGGAATGTACCTTATGATATAGAAACTAAGGCCCGTGCGTACATGACTACAGGTGCCTCCTACGCCAGCGACGTAGCCGTCGACCTACCCGAGAGTAGATTTACGGCCGGCATATAGGAGAAATCTAGGAGGTTAGGAGACTAGGTAACTATCCCTTCCTTAATGTTACGAGCTGCTATATGACACGTAAGGTGTCCATAAGCAAACCCGAGGTAGTTTACTTAGTAATATAGTGGGGAGGGGCGATATAGCTAAGACCGGAAACTAAGCGTATAGTATATAGACCTATACGTATAGTAGGTAATCGTGAGGAACTCGATTCTATATAACTATTATTAACTATAAGGAGAACTTATATAACTAAGTATAGCTATATACTACTCGGGATATATATTTAGTATATTACTCTATTAAATATATTAAATATATTAATATATTCCGGAGTCTACTTAGGTATATTACTCTATTACTCCGCTTAGTCGTACTAATATATTTACTAAGATATTAGCGCCTAATATATTCTCCTTAGTTAACCTTCCTTCCTACTTTCTCCCTTAGTCGCCTATATTGTGAGGGTTTAGAAAGAGTTCTATAACTAGCTAGCTAACCTAGTAATAAGGAGGATAAATCTAAGGAGAGAGAAGGAAGGAATAGCTATCCTTCCTTTCTCCTTATATCCTTTAATACGCCGTAAGGAGGTAACTAGTATCCTTACCTCCTTACTCCTTCCTTATATACTTATTCTAGTCCCTTACCTTCTCCTATATATTTATTCTAACTCCTTATCTTCCCTTACGTATAGTATCTTAGCTATTAGAGTTCTATATCCCTTATACTATATACACCTTTAGCTAATTAAGAGATAGTATTTTACCTATATATTATATAGGTAAATCTTGACTAATTAGGAGGTAGTATTTCCTAGCGTTAGTCTTATCGCTAGTTCGCCAGAACTGAGCCTTCTCCTAGGTTCAACTCATCACACTACCTAACCTAAGGGTAAATTTACGCCTAGAATATATAGAGATAAGAGACGCTAGGGGTAGGGTAGATAATCCCTTACTATATAGTCGTAGAGAAGGGGCAGTAAGGTAGCTATCGACCCTATAATCTAAGGTTAGATTTCGCCCTCTAAAAGTAACGAAGGTTTACGATAGAAGAAGGCTTATAGTAGAATAGAAGGATCTTAATAGAGATAGAAGGCTCATAATATAGAAGGTTCGTGATATAAATAAAGAGAACTTATATATAGTACGTATAGGTAGATTAGGCCTCTCTAAGGTATTATAAAGGTATATCTTAGGTATTTCGTAGGTATCTTATCTTCTTCCTTAAGTACTACACTTTAGAATAGATCGATTATATATTTATTAATTATATTATAAGAAGAATCTTATAACTAAACCCTAATATCGATACTAAGATATACGCTTTCTTAGTAGTAACGCGCTCCTTACTATTAGAAATAGAGCTAAGTTAGGCTATATTATAGGCTAAAAGGTAAGTCGTCACTAAGATCGAGACATAAACCGATATAGCGAGTCTCGTTATTCACTAAGGTGGCCTCTTCCGCTACCCAAACCGTTTTATAAAATATAAAAATAAAAATAACGTCAACAGGAAAGGTAGAGAGGACGGCGGCTAAGGCAGCCTTCCAGACTAACTAGTGACTGCGGTAAAGCTTGGGATACGTGGTTGCCGATGCACGTCATCGACTGGCTGGGCTGGGTCATCAGCAGCGGCTTCACGAGCAAAGAGGCCGTGTCGTCGACGAGCGTGGCGCCTCGGACCGTGTCTTGGGGAGTATTCAGGGAAAATGCGTCATTTGTGGGAGCTGGGCTCTTCGCCCTGCTGTCGGCAGCACCACCAGAAGCACCAACCGGGGCCCTTCTCACCGCGCCCATGCGCCGTCTCTCCCGGCCTGGGGCCTGCTGCTCCTGGGTGGCCTCTGTCCGCGTCCTCTTATCCACATGGTCGTCATTGCTCACGCGGTTTTCTGGGCGCTTGAGGAAGCCTTCCGACCAAATTTACAAAGGAGCCGGTTTACAACGAAACCTGAACTCAACCTGGCCACATACACGGCGAAATAGAGCCTCATTGTGTACTCAGTGTGAGTTCCTATATTTACCCACAACGAGGATTCATTGATGTGAAAGCCACGAGCGTTGTTGGTAATCCCATCTACAATCTTCACTAGGTTTACAAGGCACTAACCTCGTATCACGACCACCGGCACATGTGGTGGACATGCAGGCGGGAGGTAAGAGACCTGCGAGTACTGTCCATTGCTCCAATAAGCCAAACGGGACCAGAAAGGAGACCTGGCGCATTTCCACGAGGCTGGGTTGGAGGAGCTGTCGTCGGTCATTGGCTGGGCTGATGATTGACCTATCACAAACAGGACCGGGAAGCTGAGCACAATCAAGATCGCGCCAAGCCGGACCGCGCTAAGCTACTTTAGGCCGCACACGGTCCGCAGGAGAAAAGTATGCTTCTCGGATCCGAGAAGCATCCTCTCCTCATACTATGAGTTTTTGTCACTGCGGGATGTAAAAGGATACTTATTACCATGGAATCTATCTATCGCTGAGTACTGCCTATCTTCAATAAGGCATCCTTGACATGACCTGTTAGGACAACATAGGGGTGCGGAACGGAGTTAATATAGAGTTTCCGCTTCCAGGCCGTGCATGACGTATGCCCAGCAGAATCTGTCCCCAACATGCCGCAGTTAAAATTTGGTGGTGCCAAGCCACGGTCCTGAGTCATCCCCTGCAGGTCCTCACAAAAATTGTTCTGGGTATTTCAACCTCTTCATCTCAGAAAATCCTTCTCGCTTCTCCCCGCTCCTCATACCGCGACAGGAAACGCACAAGATGGCCAAGGCACAGACACACACACACCCTGACCAGCACGAACCACTCAAGTTTGAAGAGCTCTTCCTAACGCAGGAAGAACATTTCACCATTCGTACGCTATCACAAATCCTGAAATGGACGGAATCCCTTGTTAGAGGCAAGGAGGTCCCGCACAGCGGGTATATGAAAAAGGATAAGAAAACGAAAGAGGAGAAGCAGCTCGAACATGCATCGACGTACAAAATCTTGAACAGCTTCTGCCAGGCTATTAATCGCGGCGGATCCGAGGTGATCGCGTTGTTACCTGGGCCTTTTACCGGAGCAGAGTTGACAGTATTCAGCGCGACTTCGACATCGACGGGTAGGTCTACCAGATGAATTACTGGGAAAACCCGTTCTAACCACGTCTTTAGAAAATGAGAGCGACGAGACTCAAGACCTTTACTTTACTCGAAATCCTCAGCAAAACGAATTTCCGAGAGCAAGGGCCGAAGCCATCAAATATTCCGTCGATTTCGCCAGTTATGGAGTGCCATCAGGCTTTACGAATGACCCATTTGGCACTTATCTTGACTTAGTCAAGGAATACTCCTTCAAGATTCCCTTCGCCTTGGTGCCGCACTTAGCTTTGACGCTACTCAAACACGCTCACACCCAGTCCTCCAAACAAGCTGGCAAACATGCCTTCGACAACTTTGGCCTCTTGACGATGTGTCTCGGCTTCCCGCGACTATCTGCTCGATTCGACCTGGGTATTAAATCTCGAAACTTCTTCCAAGTCATCATGTTACTTGATGGCAGTCCACCGACCAGCGAAGATTTCGGATATCTTGCTGAGCGTTTGCAAGATCAAGATGCAGATTCCTATGCACTTGGAGACAGCATGAAAGATAAGACTTTCACACCCGTCCAAAGGGACCTCATATCTCAGTTCCTGCGCATCCAGCTCATTACGGCAGACGCCCCGCTACCGCAGAAATTCGACGCCCGAGGCCGACGATTCCTCGCCACTGTACTATGTTCATTGTTGAAGCTATTCCAAGACAAAGTGAAGAAGGCTAGGGACAGTCAGCCGTCAAGAAATCGGACAACACCATTCAACAGGGAAAGCTATGAGATAGCTATGATGTCGTTACTCAAACTCAACCAAGGTCTCTGGCTCTTCTTCACTCGGTTCCGAGACCAAATCAAGGAAATACTCGCATGGGTCGAAAACGTCTGTGGGCTTCGGAATGCAACCCTCATCAACACTTACTCCGAACATGGCGACCAGGATATTTTGTCTTCTAGCCCCGCACCGCCATCGGATCCAGATACCCCTCCTGCTGCAGAACAAGTTTCACAGCCCTCTACCCCGACTTCAGGAATTGAGCAAGGAGTCGTTTCCCCTCGTACACCATCCCCCTCCTCAGACATTGTTTCCTCGCCACCATCGATCGGCGCGCTCAGTCCATCGGCGCCCCGCGATCAACCGCTTGAGTTAACGGCGCTAGACGACCTGACTGACGACGAAGCAAACGCAGAAGAAGTAATTGCAATCTGTGCCATCGAAGAAAATCCGCGGTCGGGATGGCACGACACCTGCTTTCGATGGTTAGAGCTTGTTATCACTCACTACGAAGCGATTCGAAACGTCCATATTTGGTCACCAAGTCGGAGCTCCTCCATTGCGAAGTCGCTAAAGAGACTAGTGCCACGGGCAGAGATCCACACTCTTGAGGTAAAGTCCTCATACGCAGACCAACGTATGCGAAGTATCAGCGAGGTACTAGAAGAGCTAGAAGAATCGCGCGTCGAACCCGAAGTTGCGGAATCCCTTAGAGAGTGGCTGGAGCGCTATACACACGAAGGAATTCAAGCTGCTAGACTCATTGGTATTCGGCCCCATGTTGATGCACAGTCTAAATGGGATGATCCAAAGTTCAAAGGTACCATGCATTGCGAGACCATTATGCTCACACTGCATGCTCTGTCAATCAAAGGCATTTTTCCCGCTTCCACCGCCAGTGCCAGGGCGATATCAGATTGTCTCAAATCCCGCGACATCATCGTACCTCCGGAGATCATTGACAGATTCAAGACTATTGGCAATATACTTGCAGTCTCAAAGAGATGCTGTCCGGCTTGCAACTCCGTGGTGTCCGCCATCCGAGATTACCAGCGTTCGAGCCGCCGAATTACGTACCCGGGGTATCATACTGTATGGTTTCCGATAGCACTACCGCCCTGGACACCCCGAAAGATTGGCCAAATCCTACTGGACACTCTTTGGAAAGCTGTGCAGGAGCGCGCGGAACGTGTCCACGACGTAGTCGAAGCGGGGAAGAAGGTTCGATGCAAAACGCCGAGCGACGCATCCCACGAGGACATCGAGGTCGAACCATATGACACTGAGCAAATCTCGCCACCCCGTGATCATGTCTTGCAATATCAAGACACTCCATCTTGGTCCACTCAGAATGAGGATGAGGACCAGCAAGCAGGGGATGAAACGCCGAGGCCATTCAAGCGTACTATGCCTATTCTACTGGCACCAGGGGCGGTAGAGCCACCAACGTCGCCTAAGCGCTCGAGGAACGTATCACCGGGGGATTTAGAGACTGAGAGTTTATTGTCGCCAACGAAGAAGACTCGGAAATGATAACGCGTGGCATTATGGATTGATAGAAGAGCTTTCCACAAGGCACTGTAGGCAGGCCTCTCCTATTTTCCATAGACAGACCAGATCAGACAGATGAATACTTCTTACTTTTGTTTCCTTCTGTTCCTGCCGTAATAGGTGGTAGTAACGCCTTAAGCGTTAGTTCTAAGTTCTCCAATGTCTTCAAGAACCCGGTTTGTTTCCGCCGTGCGCGCGTTCATAGACTACGGAAACGCAGTCCCTTATTGTCCCAAAAAACATTCACATTCAGAACTCTGTCTCAACTAGCCACTCCCTTCAGTAGGTACTGACTTCGAGCTTAGGAATCAACTGTAGGAGTGCCTATTTCCTTTCCCCTTCTTCCTTTACTTCCGCTAAAACGTTTTCAACACTTAGACTCAGCTACTAGCGCTGCGACTGGACAGCGTAAAGACCTAGTAAGAAGGACCTATACTATGCTTCGCTATCAAGCGTTTCCTTTTCTCATATCCTTGACTCTAAGCGGTCACTACTAGAACTACCTAAGGTCGTCGACTTTTCCTAGTCTCCTTTTATAAGAGAAGTTTGAGGGTTTAGAAAGAGTTCTGTAACTAGCTAGCTAACGTAGTAATAAGGAGGATAAATCTAAGGAGGGCAAGAAGGAAGGAGGAACACTCCCTCTCTATGAGGGTTTAGAAGGAGTTCTACAACTAGCTAGCTAATCTAGTAATAAGGAGGATAAATCTAAGGAGAGAGAAGGAAGGAATAACTATCCTTCCTTTCTCCTTATATCCTCTAATGCGCTATAAGGAGGTAACTATTATCCTCACCTCCTTACTCCTTCCCTTATATACTTATTCTAGCTCCTTACCTTCCCTTACGTACGGTATCTTAGCTATTAGGACTTCATATCCCTTATACCGTATACGTCTTAACTAACTAGGAGGTAGTATTTCGCCTATACATTATATAGGTAAATCTTAACTAATTAGGAGATAGTATTTCCTAGCGTTAGTCTTGGCGCTGGTTCGCTAGAACCGAGCCTTCTCCTGAGTTCAACCTATCATACGAATAGTCTTTTAACTACTTATCCTATCCGCTATATAGAGGTATAAGTTATATTAGTGTCACTGATAACCCTAGGTAACTAGGTATATACGATATATACTTATACTTATACTTATATAGGGTAATAAAAAGAAATCTCGTACGTACGTAAAGTTAAATTAGATTTTAGGCTAAAGCTCTAGTTAGGATAATTTAAAAGTTATTATCGTCCTTATTATCTAACGATAATTCTATAGTCTCGTCCCTATTATTATTATCTATAGCTAATAAATAACGTAACGTATAATTATACTACTTATAATTAGTATAGACTTCCCTAAAGTATTCTAGAAGTTAGTGACACTCTAGAAAAGATATTTGATAGTTTATACACTAATTATTATACTAAACTAGTCGTACGCTATATAATTAAATTAATACGGCATTAATATAGGAGGGCTAATAGGACCTAAGCTACCTAACTATAATATAGCTATAGATAAAGGCTGTGATGGGTTGAACCCAGGAGAAGGCTCGGTTCTGGCGAACTAGTGCCAAGACTAACGCTAGGAAATACTACCTCCTAATTAGTCAAGATTTACCTATATAATATACAGGCGAAATACTACCTCCTGATTAGTCAAGACGCATACAGTGCAAGGGACATAAAGTCCTAATAAGCTAAGATACCGTACGTAAGGGAAGATAAGGAGTTAGAATAAGTATATAAGGGAAGGTAAGGAGCTAGAATAAGTACGTAAGGGAAGGAGTAAGGAGGTGGGGACAATAGTTACCTCCTTATAACGCGTTAGAGGATATAAGGAGAAAGGAAGGATAGCCATTCCTTCCTTCTCTCTCCTCAGATTTATCCTCCTTATTACTAGGTTAGCTAGCTAGTTATAGAACTCTTTCCAAACCCTCATATTGGCTATATTAAGACCTAGTATTACTAGAGGCTAACGACTTTAAGGACTATAGGTGTACAGAGCTAACTCCTACCTATATACGAGTAAAAGCGGTACTCGCTATAATACTAAATTAGTAGTAGTAAGGGTAGTAGCGGCCTAGGCCATATCCTAATGGATAATAGCTAATCGATCGTTATTCCTACTCTTTATATTAATATCGTACGCTATTAAAGGGGGGGGGAGGATTAGATCGTATTATGCTATTATAAACACTAACATAATTAAGTTAGTAAGTATCTGATAATTAGGGACTAAGTACGTATAATTAGTGATAGTAGTAATAGTAGTAGTAGCGATAGTAGCGGTGACGGTAGTAGTATTAGTGATTAGTAGAAGGAAAGAATTTTAGGGGCGAAAAGTTTTCGCTTATGTGCTGTACGTGACTAGGTCTTAGTGTACGGAAATACTAAGAGTATTACTAAAATACTAATACATTCTGATCTATATTAGGTATTGTATCGTGCTTATCAATACGGTATCGAAAACCACCCTGGCTAGACACGCCGCAACGACAGTGGTTGTTGTTAAGCCGTCGGAACCTCCTTTATATGCCGCCTCCTTTACATACCGGTTTTCTCAGGTATGAGCCTATTAGGCGGCCTCCGACTATAGTCGCGAAGATGGCGATATTAGTGTACGTTCTCAATATACTTAGTGTAGTTAGAGTCAATATAGTCGTTAGTCGTGGTTTACTTAACGGATTTATAGTAGATTAGGCATACCACTATCATAAGTATTTCATAAGTTAATGTATTCGAATCCAGAAGTAAGCCGTTACTCTCACCCTCTATTACTTAATAGATATTGACTCGGTAAGCCTACGTAACTCTACGGTACTACTACTTATCCACTATATATTCGCCGTTATCTAAAGCTTCGCTAACTATCTCTATTAACCACTCCCTACTAGACTTCTCTATTTTAGCCCGCTTATCCGTATCGATAGGCTAGAACATTATAACTATAGCCTTAAGGTCTCCGTTCGCCTTAGCTAACGTATTAAACTCGTTAGCATTTATAGATTTCACGATTCCTCCTTACTCTTCGGTCTAGATCTTTAAGGTAGCTACCTAAAGAGTTAAGAATAGCGATATTCGAAATTAGTTATTTCCCTAGTTAATAAGGACCTAGGCTATATTAAACGTAGGTTTTAGTAGCTCTTCTTTCTTCTTAGTAGAGTAGATAAGGATTTTTAAAGTAACGGTATCCTAAGTAGCTATATCTAAAGTAGTAGTCGCGAGAGGATTATTCGGAATAGTAAGGTTTATTCTAACTAATATACCTAATTCGTACATAAGATAGAGATACTTAGAGTACTCTAGAAACTAAGATCGTAAAATAGGTGAATTTATTATATATAAGGAGAAAGATAAAGATAGATAGAGCGCCTAGAGTATAAAACATCGTAAGGTTATATATATAGGCGCGAAGTACGCTAATATATAATAGGAAAGAGACCCTTTATATCCGAGAGCTATTTAGCGCGGGCGCTAACGAAAAAGAGAAATAGAAGAGGTTCGTAGTGAGAGATGATAAATAGAGGCGTAGGCGTCCTTAAGAAAGACGGAATTAAGGCTCGTTTATCACTCCTAGTGTGAGGGAGGGGCCTAAGTAGCTAATAGAGTTAGTGTGTAGGAGTGCTAAGCGATAAAAGTTGAAATTCCGGAAGTTCTCTCTAGCATTTAGAGTGCACTAGGTATTAGGTGCTAGGTTCTAAGTGTCGCGCATAAAGTTTGAATTCCTAGGGGCTACTAGAGCGCTAGTGAGTTATCTAAAGTTTAAACTCTAGGAATGCTAGCCTACGCTAGCCTACGCTCAAGTATGTTGATAGCCCGACGTTTACACTTTTTAACTTGCGTAACTTGGGCGTAGGCCACCTTTTTCCTAAAGGCTAAAAAGTTACACACCCTCACTAACTTAACTTAACTTAATATGCCTTAACATAACATCACACCCTTACTCTTATTAAAGTAGCTCGTGCACCTATATCTCGTCCGTCTTACTCACGTATCGTGTATCGTGTAGGCCGTATGTTATACAGCTAATATGATGGCGTGATAGTGTGCTATGTGCTTACATCGGTACCGGAGATGATTTTCGTGGCCGTGGCTGAGTAAGTGGCTATAGGCGTCCACTTACTCTCGAGTGTATTTGCCTATACTACCTCTCTTCACAACCTATCATACTTAATCTAACATAAAGCCCTTATTATCGTCGATATAGCTGAGTAGTTCCTTACGATCGGATTACTATACCTCTAAGCGCGCTAGCTCGTATAGGAAGAGGGTGCCGGCTAGCTAGACCGCTAATCTACTTTCCGGCGTTGATTTCCGGATAGGCGGCGGTGGAGGTGAGGTCTTTTAGCCGCTATAATAGTGGCGGTGCGTTCGATTTATACTACAGTGGCAGCGGTAAATAGAGTCACTAGGTAGGTACTTGAGTCTGAAGTCGCCTTCTAGGTCGGCGGTCCCGTATAGTATAATAGCGGGCGCTAAGTATATATATAACTCCGGCGTAGCATCGATCAGGCTCTCTCGCACATGCCGTTAAAAGTGGCTAACGCCGTTAATGGTCATATAGAGAGAAGATAATCCTCCGCAGCGCGAATACTTAATTATGGAAAGAATGAAGAGCCTCGGCCTATAGCTAGCCATAGAGAAGCTTCTGCTAGAAGTGGCCGATAAAGAGGTAATGCTATAGTGGTGTGTCGACGGTCTGGACGATGCTTAGATAGGTATTACGATGCCTTAGGGTCAAATATCTATTAAGTATCCATCTCTTTCATAGTTCGTTATGTATGCTTTAGGGTTAAGTATCTATCTCTATTATAGTTTATTATGTATATTTGCCCTAGGGTTAAGTATGCATTAAGTATCCATCTCTTTCACAGTCCGTTCTATCTATCTGAATAATCTGGATGGCCTTCCTAGTTGCCGTATAGATATTATAAGTGATCTTTTAAGCCGGATAGTCTTCCTCGTTATAGATGTTGTAAGTTAACGATGT